TGACTCTGAGGAGCAAAGCTAGAACTCTTCACTCCTCCTATTAATGATCTTGATCTTTTGGAATATTCGAGGTGTTCGTAAGTCCTCCCCAAGAATCCAAACTCTCTGTGCAGCTCATAAACCCTCCTTTTTAGCTTTTATGGAACCACTTCTTGATGATCCTCATCTAGACACCTTCAAAAGGCAGTTTGGAATGACTAAGGCATCCTCTCATCTTAATAAGCAGCTCTGGATCATGTGGAAAGAGCCTACTCTCACTCTGTTACAGGTAGTTGAACATCCTCAAGTTGTCCACTGCGAGTTTTCATCCTCAGAAACACAAGGATCACTTTGGATCTCCTCTGTTTATGGAAGACACACCAGGGCAGTCCGCGCACCTATTTGGTCTTCCATATCATCTTGGCATACTGGATCAGATCCTTGGATTGTTGGAGGGGACTTCAACTGCATTCACAGCGTGGATGAACATAAGGGCAATTCTGAACCTTGCTACAGGTCTATTGATGAATTCAGGGAATGTGCAGAATCCCCCAACCTTCTTTATATCCATCCTTCAGGGGGGCACTATTCATGGAGCGGGAAAAGAAGCAATGGGAAAGTATGGAGACGTCTTGATCATATCCTTGGTAACCAATCTATGATTGATACTTTTACTTCCACCAATTTGACAATGCTTAGCAAGGGAGCCTCTGACCATAGGCCTCTTTTGTTAAACTGTATTTTGGATAATTTCCTGGGCCCTAAACCCTTTCGTTTCCTCAACATGTGGTGCTCCCACCACACCCTTGAAAGTACCATTGCCTCGTTTTGGGAATGCAATAAGACGTACAATGGGATGAAGGGGCTGTCTGCTAAACTTAAGGAACTGAGGAAAACTCTACGCACTTGGAATAAGGATATTTTTGGGAATGTATTCCAAAACCTTAAGGAAGCAGAATATAAAGCAAATTCTGCCCAGGACAAATTTGAGCAAAACAGCAACCCAGAAAATTTGGTGGAATTCAACAAAGCCAATGCTGAGCTACTCCTCCAATCCAAAAGGGAAACAGAATTCTGGAAACAGAAGGCGGGACTCAAATGGATTAAAGAGGGTGATGCTAACACCAAATTTTTCCATAATGTGGTTAAAAACAGGCGCAATAAACTCAGGATCTCTAGCATCAAAGATGATGAAGGCAGGAGCATTGAGAACATCAACAGCATTGCCAACCATGCTATATCCTACTTCACCAAAATTTATACAGCGGAGCCCATCTCCATTGAGGACGAA